GCGTTAGCCATTCAAGTTTGGAATGACACAAGGTTAAGTAAACAATAACATTTTTGTGGAAAACTATTGCATTAAATACAAAGATTAAACTCAGATATTATGTATTTAACACTAGTACTGTACAGAGAAACATGCAGGGTTTTTTTTCTTTTCTTTTGCATATCCCACTCTGTGTAATTGCATTACTACCTCACATCAATCACAAACTAAATTATGTCTATGCACAAGAGCTATGCTGGTGTTTTTCCAGGAGCTGTGAAATCGCTAATGTGATGAGTCATGCACAAAATAGTAAATGAATGTGTGTGTGTGTGTGTGTGTGTGTGTGTGTGTGTGGTTGTGCATGTAGGGACTGCTGGGGGTCTTAAATTTAGAGACGTGTGGCAGTTTGCCTTGTAGGTTTTGTAGCTCTGTCACAATGTGACTGGGCCACAACTACTATTTATGGCCTATTACTATTATCATCAGTACACGATTGTAGAAAGGACAGTAAAATGCACTGCATTACACAAATTTTCAAAACATCACAAATGTAAGGATTTAAATTCAATACAAAAAAGAAAAAAATAACATTTTCATAAGCAGCATGAGTTGTATTGATAAAATATATTATTGGTACTTACATACCATGTTAAATTACAATGCAAAAATCCATTTAGAAAGGCTTTCTGTGGGATTTTCAGTATAAAGCTTGGTTTTGACAAACTGACATACCAGTCAGAGAATGAGGTCATTATTAGGTCAAAATTACTACAGCCTTTTCTGTTAAGTATAAGACATTTCATTCAAACTTTAAATACAACACAATGTAATGTGTAATTCAAAATATGGGTAAAACACATGGGAAAAATCAGTCAAGAAAATTCCTTCATATTAACATAGTACATTTGCCTGTATTTTATGGAGTTTTCTTTGAGTGTATTGTAAGGAGTAGAGGCAGCACATGTGCAGAACATGTAGGCTCTCTCAGTTATTCTACCCCTGCCATATCCCTCTGAATGAGTCATACAGACACAAGGGGTCTATTTTTAGCAGCTGAAAAAAGTCCTCAACCTCTCACTCATAAAGGGCTTCTGCTAACACATACACAGCCCTGGGAAACCCACTTAAAGGCTGTCTGTGCTGGTTTGTGGCCTTGGCAAAGAAGAGGGAGAAAAACCATGCCATACATCACAGTATAAGATGGGATAAATTATATGGGCTCTATGGCAACTATGTGCTTCAGACCAAACATAAAAAATTTCATTTTGTGGGATGTCAGAGAAGTAGTGTAGATTCTAACATATTAGCAATTTATGTTTTCTGGTGAGCATAATGTTATATTTTATTTCCTCAAAAATTAACCTAATCTTATGTCTTTGGTAATAAGAAAAAAAAAAGAAAAAAGAAAAGACAAACAGCAGTTAATTGATGCATTGAAGACTTGTTCACGGTCTGTCTATGAAGTGAGTACTTACCGAGGGGAGTTAAACCCACTGTCTACAGTCACACTACTGCTGTCCATGCTGTCCAGCCGGGCCGAGTGAGCTGACTTCTGGCTGTTATTATTCTCGCTCTCCTTAGGGCTAAGCAGAGTCAAGTTGTTCTCAAACTTCCGCTGTAAATCCCGCTCTTTCTCCCGTTCTAGCAACCACTGGGCGGCCTCTTTACGGCAGGCCTCCTCTGCCTCTTCCTCATCGTCATCATCTGACACGTTGTAATAGTCAAAAGCAGCTTCAGATGTGGAGGGAGCACCCTGTTCTGTGCCTGTAGGTGCTGGGGCAGAAGCAGACAAAGGGGTGGATTTAGGTGGTTGTTGGGTCTCCAGAGTGTCAAGGACCTCGGATGATTTCATATGCGGAGTCTTACGCAAAGTGCCTGACTTTGAGTAGCCACTGTCCACATAGCTCACAGTCAAAACATTGTGTGGCGGTTTGAACAAAGTGTCCTTACTAAAAATCTCTTTCCTCTTGTCCACCCCGCCACCAGTGCTACCACCACCTCCCCCGCCCCCTGGGTCAGTGTTGTGTTGGTGCTGTATCAAACGTCCATTGGGCATAGGCTCAGGTGTCTGGCTCGGTGTGGGTTTGCCAGAACCATTGTGCCCCTTGGTGGAGGAGTCCTCTTTGTACTCCAAGGGGTGAGGAGAGGTGAGGTGCGGCGTCTGCCGGTCAGCTGGAGAGCCCTTGCGGATTCCGTCAGATGGGGTTAAAGTGTCATGGTCAGATTTGCCCAGAGGCAGCGGGGCAGTAAGGATTGTTTCATTCGATGTATTGCACTGGAAGTAGTCATCAGCCAAAGGCTTCGGCGACAGGACCTTCAGGTCACTGTAGGCTGGGAGGCTGTCCCTGCTCTTGTTCCGTTCTAGAGGGCTGCAGAGCCTTGAGTCATCCAGACTCAATTTGCCCATATCAGGTACTGACATTTCAGAGCTGAACTTGGCAGCAGAAAACATGATGCACGAGTAGTGCGGGGCCTTCTGAGAGGAGGCCCTCAGCGTCCCATCATCGGTATAGTAGCGGCTTCTGTCGTCAGGACTGCGGTCGTAATCCTCAGCCGTGCCAAGCATGGAGCTCCCACCTCCCAGCGGGCCCTTGGAGTTGTCCATAGAACGCGATCGCTCTTTCGCCTTGTCGGGCTGCTCATTGCGTGACTTGCGGTCCTGAATGTGGCTGTGACTCCGGTGCACTCTAGAATGTGATGTTCCACGTGAAGGCTCAGGGAAAGGCATCTCTGTCCGCCTCTTTGCAAGCTCCCCCGAAACATCCCACTCCGGGGTGACAGGAAAGTGTGACTCAGCAATGTTGGGGTTGCTGTGGACAAGGTAGGCACCACCGCTTCTGCGTTCCACTGTGTACATTCCCTCTCTTGGCGAGCGTACCAGAGAGTGACTGAAAAAACGGTAGTCCCTCTCCAGGCTGACTGCTGGCAGGTCCAGATTGGAGCCCTCAGCGGGATCTCCCCGAGAAACCCGCGTCTTGCTGTGCGAACGCGACTTCCCGTGCGGCACACGCCGGTGGCCTCGGCTGCGGCGACTGCGGGCGCTGTGCTGTGCGGAGGAGCTGGCCTTGCAGCGCTGAGCTCGTTCCTCTTCTAGCCGCTTCATGACAGCTGTGTGACGGGCCACGTTCTCCACCGTCAGTTCTGGGTTGATGCGGCGGATGATCTCCATCTCCACCTCACGAGGGATCGCTGCAGCAGACGGTGTGTCCTCATCCCTCAAGGGCCACTCCTCTGGAGGGAACTGTGCAGAAAAGGTGGCCAGCTGTTTGGTCTTGTCCTTCTTCAAGCTCAAGCGGAACAGCTTCAACCCAAACTTCTTGGACTGCCTCTCACTGCTGCCCCCACCGCTGCCCTCCTTCTTCTTGGTCAGTGTGTCTGTCTTGTAAGAGAAGGTGGCAGTCATGCTCTTGCTCTTGTCGGTGGGGTCAGGTGGGTGCTGAATGGCAGGTGGAGGGGGTGGGTGTTGTGGGTATGAAGGTGGATCTCCTTTGGGTTCTTTTGGGGATTTTCTTTGAATCGTAGCAGTATGAATGCTGGGCACCTCATCGCGGTAGGCATTATAGGAGTCGCAGTGGTTCTTAGGGTTAGGCCTTTCTCGTATGCAGCCAGAGGTGGAGGGAGTGATGGTTCCAGATTGTGGCGATGTGCATTGCTGTTGAGGTGGTGGCTGCTGCTGCTGCTGCTGTTGTTGTTGCTGCTGCTGCTGTCGCTCTGGATGCCGCTCATCCAGGTGGTACCACTTGCTGTTGGTGCGGATTAGGGAGGGGGTGATGAAGTAGGTCTGTGGAGTAACAATGAAGTAACCTTCTGGTGTGGGGTAGATCTTTCTCTCCCGTACCAACATGTTCAGCGTGTGCCGCAGGATCTCTGGACTCGGAGTGGGTACACCTGAAGAGAATACAACCGCATGTAAGTTTCATAATCATTTTCATAGTGCTAATGAAAGTGCTGACACAAACTTTTTGGCTAACATTTGTGATAATGTAATAATAAATCTTCAATCATAAATATCAATTAATATTTCAAAGGAAAAGCTCAACAGGCAAACACTTAGATGTGAAAAATAGAGTGCAAAGTGGGGAAAAAAGGGTGGAGGGGGAAGTAGCAGATTAGTGGGTTCATGTTGATGTCAGCATTATCCAGAACTGCTCTGACGTGCCAAAAGTAGGATTAACCATGAGTAGGTGTGATCACACAAATAACTACAGAAGGCCAATCAAAAGAAGAGCATTGGTTGCTGATTTATGTCACCACAAATCACAACACACCAGTCATTATCTCATCTTTCATCATCACATCTGTAAGCCCCTCAATGTAATAAGACAAAACCTGCCATTGTGACCCTCCTTCATAAGAACTCATATGATAATAAAATCAAATAATGCAACAATAATCGTAAAATATCTTCTAAAAATGTCAAGAGATTTTACAGTATATCTTGTTTTGTCCTTATTTCATTAGCTAGACTGGTAATTTGGAACTCTTAAGCCTAAGATGTCTGAGCTAACTGTTCACTAAGAAGTTGGACTGAATACTTGTATAACTATGTTATTGATGTAAGACAACAGAAACACTTTATCACAAGTTAATGTTAACAATCAATTCATTGTTATGAGTTGATTGATTAGTCAATCATCAATTATAATTATTTCATTTATTAAGGTCTATTTTGTTGTTATAAGTTAACCAACTCATGGGCCACTTGGAAACCTTCATGGAGCACCAGTGAACCACAGAACATATTCTCATATTTTGAGATCCACTGTTCTGTGCTTTCAAAGTATGCTTTAGAGGGAATATATTTATACACAATTAAGATGGCTAACTTAGACACTCAAAAATAGATATTACATTTGTGGTAAGACTCAGTACTGTGAATGTCTCTCTTAGTTTAATATCACGTGTGCAAAATAAGTAAACATTGCCTGTAACTCACAGACAAGGAGCACCAACAGGGTGGACTGCACTACAGGGTACATGGTGTCCTCACTGCACTCAAGTCCTCACTTCACCCAAATCAGCTTTTCAACACTCTCAATCACAGAAACACACACAACAGATAAAGGAGCAGATAAGCTGTAACTAGTCAGGGTTAAGTGTTGCCTGCCATTACATCATACAGTGGTAGTTGCCATACCAACATGACGCAACTCAGAGCCTCTTTTTTCTTTTTCTTTTCTTCTTTAAGGGAAAGCAGACAGACTCTATTCAGGTGAAGTTTGCACACTTTGCACTTTGATTGACTGTTTTCTCTTAATAAAGCTGAGCAACGTAAGGTGTACAATGGACCTTTTTTGCAGAGTGTGATGATTAGTTTCCGCAATTATTAACATTGTAAATCTGGCAACATTTATATATTATATATTATACATTATATATTTTTTTAGATTTTTAGATTTTTTAGTTTTTAGATTATATTAGATTTTAGATGTCTTCTTTTATTATTTTAAGTTTTTTCTTACATTGGCAATAATTACAGAAAACAATGTTTCTTACAGTGTTTCTAATACAAAGACTGAGGGAGTACATTTTTTTTTTCAATTGGAGCAAATGAGAATGCAGAAAAATATATTTGATGTAGTTTCCGTTCACCACTATAGAAGTTTACCCAACTATGATAACTTCTGCTTGAAATGTGAAAAGGGTCCATAGATGATAGATCAATCTACAGAGATGACAGAAAATAATGTATTTGATTATAACAAAAATAGGTTTGGACATTCAGCTGTTTTTAAACTGTTGGAGTTTATAGTGTCATCATACATTTTATTTTTTTTACCAGTACCATGAAACAACATTAAGTAAAATTGTATTGTCAACCCCAAAACAGTCAAATAATCAGAACCAATAATTACAATAGTACAGAACAAAAACATTATTTTAAAATGTAGTTTTGATAAAAAATACTGATTATGGATTTAACCTAGTACTATAATCTCAGCAAATATAATGAAGCTAAAAACATTTTTATGATGAGGATTATCCCAATAGAACTGAAAGACTTTTCTATAATGTTATAATGACACTTAATATGGTTATGTCTATTATAAAATACAGTTAGAGTGTTTACAGCACTCATGTGTGTGTGTGTGTGTTCATAAGTGTGTCTGGAGGGCTACCTGGGAAGCAAGTGGCAAGGTGCTCCATCAGCGCATCTTGTGTGACAGGTTTGCGGGCAGAGTTCATGGCTGAGATGGCCAGACACAGAATCTCTCCCAGTGGGATGAACTGAGACTGACTGATGGGTGACATACTGATCGGAGATACATCGCCTAGAGAGGAACACACACACATAATAATGTTCAATCCTACTATACAAGAACATGCTTGTTTGGCAACTGACTGGTCCTTAAATGTCACATTTTTAATGCAACAAGAAAATTTAATTTTAATGCAATTAGAAAATAAAAACCACCTAAGATACTGATATCTCCAACAGTATTAACGTGGGACCAGTGAAGATGGAGAGAGGAGAGAGGAGAAAGGAGGAGTTTGAGGCTAGGGAGGGGTGTGGAGGAGTTTTAAAGATGCTATATGGTCACAACAGTAGCGTGAAGGTTATCCAGGGTGTTTGATCGCGTGTTGCCAAATGTGACCTTATACTGATGACTCCGCAATAAGCCCCTCTGCCTGCGTAGGCAGAAAGACCCCAGGCCATGTGTCAATATTGATCCCCAAAAAACATCCATGCATATTGAATTTACTAGAAGCACAACTCAGAGCAAATCAAACATGTTACATCACATAATACACTACATTATTTGCAGTCTGAAATTTAGACTGACATCAAATGCCTTCATATTGTTATAAACTGCAAATGAAATATGACAGAACAAGCACATATATGCTTACAAACTCCATGTATTATTTCCCTGTGTAAAAGTTACAAACACTATGAGGTTTAATAGTGAAAACTGAGTCAGCATTATCCAAACCGGGGATGAATATTGTTAAGGATCATTTATACAGTTATTCATACTGAAATGAACTCTAATTTGGGGATGAGATGAGAATTACAATGCGTAATTCTTTACCACTGTTCATGAAACAATCATAAATGATACACTTATAGCTTGAAGAGTTTTAACTTATGAACAGCAATAGAAACAAAAAAGCTTTAAAACCAGCGTCCATTGATCTGTATTGAAAGAAGCCACAAAATATCTCCAGAAAAAACATATGTTTTACACTGAGATAAGCCTGAACGACTCCTTTAACCTTTAAAGATTATGCTATGCTTCACATTGTAGCTCAGCATGCTAAAAAAAACGATAAAAGTGGTCCGAGTACAGCGTAAAGGGCAACAAAGGGTCTGAAGCGGCGCTGCTAACACTGCAGGATGCCGATAGGATGACATCATCCACACGGAGCTGCTGCTCTCCTGGTGTGTGTGTGTGTGTGTGTGTATGGCAGGCAAAGGACCATCACTCAAATCCCAGACTGTGTGTCTCACTGTTCAAGCAGAGTCTGTACAGACAGCAACGTGCTGCTCGTAACCCTCTAAATGACTTACGGAGCATTAGTGACTAATGGGGAGGCTGCTAGCCTAGCATTGTTTTTGAGAGGTATCAGCATGCTAGAGCTAAATTCAGTTGCTCTCCATTATGAATTTTATTGTTTTTACTTTAGTAGGGGGAGGATAGCGGGTGTGTGGATGTGAGAGAGAAAGAAAAAGAGAGCAGGATGGAGGGAGGCGCAGAGAGACCCCTCCCTCTGCTTCTGTGCTGCAGCCATCATAAAAGGCGGCTCTGGCGATGGACACTTACCCAACATGCTCCACTCCACACAAAGACAGGAGAGGTGTGACCAATCACAAGCAAGCTTCATGCACACCTTTTTTTTTACTCTCCTCTAGCACTGCTCACTGGCGCACACACGCACACACACATATCTGCTTGCTCTACCCTCTCCTCCGTCTCACACACACACACACAAGCTAGTAGGTGGCCTGCTGAATTCGTTGTTATGGCAACGCATCCCAGTTGCTCTCTCTCTTGTTCCTCAGATGTGTGCTACGCCAGGATTTCTCTTTCTCTCCAGCACCCACTTTTCTGTTCTTCCTGTCTCCATTCCTGCTTGTTAATGAAAAATTGAGGAGAGCATGTTGTCTGCAAGACTAAGCAAAACCTGCTCAAACACAAGGCCCTTTAGGTAAATAACAGCTTTTATATACACATGTCATCCCTTATTCTATGGAGTAGTATATAAATATGTAGATATATAGATTTTTTTATATAAACAATTCAAATGTTTGGGGTCAGGGAGATTTTTTTTTGAGAGAGAAATTAATGCTTTTATTAAGCATGGATGCATTAAATTGATCAAAATGACAGTAACGACATTTATAATGTTGCAAAAGGTTTCTAATTAAAATAAATACTGTTCTTTTGAACTTTCTATTCATCATCAAAAAACAAAACAAAAAAACAATGATAATAAGAAATGTTTCTTAAGTGCCAAATCAACATATTAGAATGATTTCTGAAGAGCCTTGTGACACTGAAGACTGAAGTAAATTTAGGTTCGTCTTCACAGGAATAAATTACATTTTAAAATATATTCAAATAGAAAACAGTTATTTTAACTGTAATAGTATTTCAGAATATTACTGTTTTTACTGTTTTTTTGATTAAATAAATAAGGGACTTCTTTTAAAACCATTTAAAAAAATCTTACAGACACCATAATAAATATATAAAATGCATGGCTATTATTCTTCCACCTATAAATAAGAGTGTAGTAAAAAAATTACCATGTTTAAATCCATTCCACATTTATTCTCTTTAAATTTCAGCAGTGTCGCCAAACATATGATAATTATCGTATTTGTACATTAATTTTGACCTCTGTACAATGTACGTTCAATAATGAAAAAATCCCCTAATGTACGATAATTTCAGAATTTTATGACGCTTCAAATGATGGTGGTTATAATCATAGGGCTTCTTATATTCATTGATCATGCACACCTCAGAGTGCATTAAGAATGCGGGAGGGTGCCCTGCTTTTAAGCCAACGAGCACTATTGGGGTCCATGATGGCATCAAATCTGTACCGCAAAAGGACCCCCTCAACATCTGGCAACACGCAGGCTTCCAATGACAGCGACTCAGAGGTGGAGTTTGGACCTTCCCACTAAGGTACGCCTAGTTATTTATCTATTGTGGTAATTTTCAGGTCATTTCATAAATAGCTGTATTCTGTACATTTGACTCGTGTATGATAATTTTCTTCCAAATACGATAATTTTGAGCTTCAGGTACAATACTTGGACATTTCCAATCTGGAAACACTGAATTTCAGAGCACAAAATACAGAAGTTAGCTGATTCCATCTGTGCCTGGTCATCATCAATAGTCATGGGAAACAGACAGCTATGACATGAATGATCAAAAAACAGGACTATGAATAGCACAAACAAACAGCTTGCCCTGCATAGAATTGTACTCTTTAAAAAAAAAGCATTAATTCTTCTGTTCTGTTTGGGGTCAGAGAGACTCCAAGACTGTTTAAACAGCTCAACAACATATTGAACATCATAGTACCAGGATGATACTATGATTAGAACTGATTCTAAACAATTTAAACTTGATTAAACCAAACAGAAAGAGAACCCAGATATAAAACACAGAATAAAAGTATCATTTTTAATTAAACCATTGTTATTATTATTGATATATGTACACTATTAATATTTGCATGTGTAGACCTATAGCAGTGGGGACTCTGGGACTGCAAACAATTTAAACAAAATTAACCTTAACAGTACTTGAGGTTCAATATTCTCTCTGTCCAAAAAATTGGGGGGGCTCAAATGGTGTCACATTACGCACTCTAGTCTTTGTGCAAGTTGTCTTGTATGGCTTCAAGCACATTTGAGGTGATGTCATCCCACTGTGCATTAAAGGAAGAAAAAAGAGACCGAGAGGAAGAATGAGAGAGAGAGTGAGATCAAGAGATGAGATAATTTACCATGTTATAACTTACAATCAATGAATCTAAAATTGTTTAACAATGTAGAACAAGGCTTGCTGCTAATATAATAATCGACGAAAATAGAAAACAGTGCAGAGATGCTGGCTTTACTGTCTGAAATGTGTCTTTAATAACTCACCAGATGGCAGTAAGCAAAACTATTTATGATAGTTAGTGTAATGTAGACTGATATGGCTGGGGAACAGACTAGTATCAAGTGTATTATTTTACATTAAAAGGAGATGGATGGATTTTTCATGCTTTGTCATTCAGTGTTTTAAGGGTAAGTCATGAGCCATTCACAGTCATATAAACTGCATTCCTATTCACAAGGTCCCTATGCAGGGGTTAACTGTAGATATTGTTATATACAGTATTTAAACTAAAATAATCTGTTATACATAAAACCTAAATGCAGCGATAAGTGACTGTTGTGAAACCACACTTAAGGTGAATCAAGGTGATTAAAAGTGTTAGACCCTCAACTCATTTTGGGTAAATTTCCCTCTCCACTTCCTGCGAAATGATTTACTGATGTGAATGTATTCCCTATGCCATTTGCAGTGCCCTTCAAAGTTAAAACGTCTGGGAAAAATCTGGAAATCTGGAACCTCACTTAAAATGTCTGAATATCCTGTGAAGTCCACTTTGTAGGGCACGGTTGGACGATTGGTACCCAATATACAGATCTATAAGCCAGGAGTACTCTTGTGGAATAAACAATATTATTTAGCATTTTCAGTCAACCATTCTGTTCCTCACTATGGATCGCCTTGTATTTGACAAAATAATAATAATAATAACAAATAAAATATGCACTTTCAAAATATTTAAATATTCAAGTTAAAATATGATTCTGCTGATAGAAATTGTGATATTAATTATGATTAACTATGCAGGCCAGTGTGCTTTCCAACAATGGGGGAAGCAGATGCAAGCCTAACCTTAGATTCACCATCATAACCTTATGAAACTCAGGTAGAAGTTTGACTGAAGCAACACTAGATGGAGGCAGGAATCCAAAATGTCCAAAACCAAACGGAAGGAAAAGGAAAGGAGCAAAATATTTTCTTCTCAGCTAAATTTCTTTTTTAATTAAATCTCCTAACTTTCGTTCATTTAAGGCTGTCACTCTGTTTTGAATATTCAACACGTTTTAAAGGGGTCGTATGATGCGATTTCAAGTTTTCCTTTCTCTTTGGAGTGTTACAAGCTGATTGTGCATAGATAAGACCCCTGAAGTTGCAAAGACTAAAGTCTCAAAACCAAAGAGATATTCTTTATCAAAGTTAAGACT